AAGATTAAAAACATTCGGAAGAGTCAGGAATATACTAGTTGGCCCTTTGTCTTCATCATTTAATCAAAAAAAGTAAGTTTATGGTTTCAAACATGATGGTCTAAAGTACTATTAGGTTTATCACATTCAGAAAACACTCCTTTCAAGACAATCATGGAGACACTGAAAACTAGGAGATTACTTTGGGGCATAGACAATACAAGATAACCCCCTTCGAGACTTCCTCCACCTTACGTGCTAATCAATCACTGGAACAGATGTGTTCTCATCCAGGTTTTGTTGTTTCATTTATAAAGCATAGGCATAGCATTAGCATGAGTCTTAAGGGCCCTAAATTTTCAGAATAGTAAATGAGCATTGGCTTCAACTTTAAGTCACTAGCTGCATTAGCTCCTAGTAAGAGAGTTAGCCAGTCCTTTGAAGCTTTGAAGCCAGGCATTGACATCGCCTCTCTAGCTGTGCAAGTCCTAGATGGCATCTTCTTCCAATATAAGGCTGTTTTGTCTACTTTGAAAATCTGTTGTTTAGTGTATCCACCTTCATCAATTATCTTAGCTAATCTTCTAGATAACTTGCTGCAGCTTCTACATCAGCATTTGCTGCTTCACCTTGTAGTTTTATGTTATGGAGATGGCTTCTTTCCTTAAACCTCATAAACCAACCTCTGCTAGCTTCAGACTTTTCTTCTGCAGCTTCTTCACCTCTCTCAGCCTTCACAGCATTGGAGAGAGTTAGGGCCTTGCTCTGGATTAAGTTTTGGCTTAAGGGAATGTTGTAGCTGGTTTGATCTTCTATTCAGACCACTAAAACTTTCTCCATATCAGCAATAAGGCTGTTTCATCTTCTTATCATTCATGTGTCCACTGGAGTAGCACTTTTAATTTTCTTCAAGAACTTTTCCTCTGCATTCACAGCTTTGCTGATGATTTGGCACAAGAGGCCTTGCTTTTGGCCTGTCTTGACTTTTGACATGCCTTCCTCACTAAGCTTAATCATTTCTAGCTTTTGATTTAAAATGAGAGATTTGAGACTCTTCCACTGGAACACTTAAAGGCCATAGTAAGGTTGTTAGTTGGCCTAATTTCAATATTGTTACATCTCAGAAAATAGGGACGCCTGAGGAGAGGAAGAGAGATGGGGGAACAGCTTGTCACTGGAGCAGTCAGAACACCCAAAGCATTTGTTGAGTAAAATCACCTTCTTACATGGATGTGGTTCATGGTGTCAAAAACAATTACAATAGTAACATCAAAGATCACTGATCACAATAATAGATATAATAATAATGAAAAAGTTTGAAATATTGCAAAAATTACCAAAATGGGACACAGAGACATGAAGTTAGCACATGCTGTCGGAAAAATGGTACTCGTAGGCTTACTTGACAGGGTTGCCACAAACCTACAATTTGTAAAACAATGCAATATCTGTGAAGTGCAATAATGTGCAAAGCACAGTAAAACAAGGGATGCCTGTATATAAAAAATGGGATGATACATGAAGAAGAAATTGTAGTAGTCAATAATTTCATTCTAATTGTGTCAACAATTAATGTCCAGGGACAGCAGACAAGAAATCAAATGAGTCATGTTGCACTGGGAAAATCTACTGCAGAAGACTTCTTTAAAGTTTTAAAAAGCAAAGATGTCACTTTGATAACTAAGGTGCATCTGACCAAAACCATGGTCTTTTCCATTGCCACATACGCGTATGAAAGTTGGACAATGACAAAGGAAGACAGAAGAATTGATACATTCAAATTGTGCTGTTGCAAAGAATACTGAATATACTCTGAACTGCCAAAAGAACAAACGAATGAGTTTTAGAAGAAATACAACCAGAATGTTCCTTAGAAGTGAGGATAGAGAGATTTCGGCTTGTTTACTTTGGACATAATCAGGAAATACCAAGCTTTAGATAGGACATCATGGTTGATAAAGTGAAGGGTCAGTGAAAATGAGGGAAACCCTCAATGAGATGAATTGACACAATAGGCACAGCAACAAACTCAAATGACTATAAAGATGGTATAGAATATGACAACATTTGTTATGCATGAGATCTCCATCAGTAGGAGCCCAGTTGACAGCAATTAATAACTCCATATTCCAGGATATCTCCTTTTAAAACATAGTCAGACGCGTAGATGCTATAAAAACCCACCCATTGCCATCAAGTTGATTCCAACTCATATTGACTCTATAGGACAGAGTAGAACTGCCCCATAGAGTTTCCAAGGAGCAGGTGGTGGATTTGAACTGCTGATCTTTTAGTTAGCAGCTGAGCTCTTAACTACTATGCGACCAGGCAGAGCTATAGAAGAGATAAAGAGAAATGACAGGTGGTAACCGTTGGCTGTTATTCTGATTACTAGGGCTGCATTAAAAATTACCTCAATATTCTCTGGCTTAAAGCAACCGTTTATTGGGCTCACTGATTCTGTTGTCAGAAATTTCTTCAAAGTACAACAAAGCTTGTCTCTACCTCATGATGTCTGGGGCCTCACATGGAATATTTGAACACTAGAGGATTGAATTGTCTGAAGATACTTTCACTCACATATCTGGTAGTTGATGTTGGTTGGCAGTTCAAGGGGTAGTTTCTGTCCTATAAGCAATGCTTCATGTCGTCTCTCCATAGGGCTAATTTGGACTTTTTCACAACATTGTGGCTAGGTTCCAAGTGTAAGAGTCTCCAAACAGAGGGAGCTAGAAAGAAGTTGTAGCCTTTATATGACCTAGCCTGGAAGTCACATGACATGTATTCTGCCCTACTTTGCTGGTTAGAAAAGTGCGGTTTAATTGATTACTTTTGTGTGACCTTTGTAGCCATGCTCTTGTAACTCCCACCCAGGTAATTGGATGGGACCGTGTGATAGAGTAATTGTGGCCCACCATGGGGATTGGTCAGTTTTGCTTTAAAAGAGAGCCAATTCCAGAGCAGAGAGGAGGCTCCTACCACCACAAAGGAAGAACAGCAAGGAGGGAAGAGCACTTCCTTTGGAGCCAGAGTGCTGAGAGAGAGAAAGCTATAACTCTGACGACTGTGAGGAGGGGTGGCAGGAGAAACCCGGCAGCAGGAGACAGCAAGATGGGCTTCCTGGCCCAAGGAGATAAAAAGTTGAGCGCCTTTGGGGAGAGGCCTAGGGCCAGGGAGAGGCATGCCTGTGAGCACAACCAGGAAAAGGCTAACCTGATGGAAGAATTATATCCTTGAGTGTTCCTGAGCTTAAATTGTAACCTGTTACTTCCCTAATAAACCCCTTAATTGTGAGTATGGTCTGTGAGTTCTGTGTGGCCATTGCAATGAATTATCAAATCCAGCAGAGAAGTAGAGAGTGCTGTGGGAGGGACGATTGGTGTCTGAATTGGTGAAGATGGCAGAGAGAGAAAGCAAGTTTTATGTCCACCTCATGGGAATCAGCCTTGGGCTGTTGATCTTGATTCTTCTTACGCCTTGCGAAGTTAGAGGAGGTCGGAGGCCAACCTCATGCTGTTTTTACAAGAAAGTACTAGTTTCTGCCCGAACTTAAGGAAAGTAAACTTAGACTCCACCTGTCCTTGGGAAAAGCGTCAAAGTCATTTTTAAGAACATGTTGGGTGGGACGTAATGTTGTGGTGCAATGATTGAGAAAAATAAGTATGCGCCACGGAGGCGAAGGTGGACGACAGAACAGAACACACTGCGTTATTTCTTATTCAGTGAGTCCATACAGATAATGAAACAATATGGGAAGTTTCTCTAGCACATTACCCTACAAATTTATCTCAAGTTATTCTAGGCAGACTTGAATCTGTCTTTTTAACTTTACGTGAACCTTCCTGAAAGCTTTCAACTTCTTATAATTTATCTTGAAGACCAGAGAGTCCACCAATAATCTAATAATAGATTTTCATTGTTCTATTCATGTTTACTTTTCCCATTGGCAATTAAGTTTAATAGGAAAATATTTCTAGGAACACTGACTAGAGAAATGTGTGGTAACTCTTGGCATAGCCAACTGATATAACTTGAGAAAATCTTGTGCTAATAGCTTAATCAGGTACAAAACAACTGGTATACTGCACATTCAATAGGACAATTATAAAGTTATGGAAGTTATGTGTTAATAAGAACTGATACTTTAGATTAAAAATCAGACAATTTTGTACTCCTACTTTGGAGGAAATGAAACATAATTTTATCATTAAACAAGTCATTAAAAGTTTAAGACATTGATATTCAATAGCATTTACTATGACAAACTTGTATAGAATTAAAAAGCAATCATAGCATAAGTCATAAAATTCCTCATATATTCTCATTTATTTAATATATTCATTGGCATGTTCAAGAGATGAAACTTGCTTTATGTGTTGTTGAAAAAAACTGTGTGTTAAATCAATTGCTTGTATATTAAATCACATTTTATTTTTTCTGCAGTTACAAAAATCTGCCCACTATAAATGTTTAAAATCACACAAAGGAAATGTATGATTCACATCAACAGAAATCATGCCTCTTTATCATGTAGACAATTGACATTTTGAAAAAAAAAAACACGAAGTAATTCTCTACATTATTTTTTTGAAGATTACCCTCTCTTGGAACATTTTAAGCATATTTTATGATGACAAAATTAAATTCATCTACCAATTTTCAAAAACATGATTTTTAAATAAAACAAGACACATTATTAAACAAGTCCACACACTCCAAGGATTTATATTCTATAATACAATCAAAACTCTCGTTCATTTTATCCTAAAATGAGGTTATATAGTTTTGCAATTTTATAGAGAAAATAAATTTTTTGATTTTATATTTCTAATACAGCGAGCTTTTCCTAATGAGGAACAGAAAGTTAAATTCATAATGCATAGAATATAAATAGTTTTTAAGATTAGGTAACCTAAAGTAATCCAAAGAATTAAATATAATTTTGTAAACTAGAAAAATCAATTTTTTTTTTGTGCAAGCTTTCTTTAGTGTCTTCATGTTAATTATTTCAATATATAGCCTTATTTGTCTGAAGTAGAAAATATCTTTTTAAATATAGCCCTGAAGGCTTGTTTTACTTGCTGGTTCCTCAGAGTATAAATGAATGGGTTCAACAAAGGGGCAACTGAAGTATTAAGCACAGCTACTCCTTTGCTTAAAATAACTCTTTCATTTGCTGATGGCTTTATGTAGATGAATATACAACTGCCATAAGTGATGGAGACAACAATCATGTGAGAAGAACAGGTGGAAAAGGCTTTTTTCTTTTGCTGAGCTGAAGAGAATTTTATAATTGTCTCGATGATGTAGATGTAAGAAATGATTACTAATAACAATGTGAGAATGAGTGTCATCAGAGCTAATAAAAAAGCAATCAATTCTAGTAAATGTGTGTCTGAGCAAGAAAGTTGCAGGACAGGAGAAATGTCACAAATGAAATGGTCAATGATATTGGAAGTACAGAAATCCAGATTAAGACCCAAAATCAGTGGAGGGAAAATCACCAGGAATGCAGTTACCCAAGAGCTGAGTACAAGCTGGTAACAAAGTCTGCTGCTCATGATGGTTGTATAATGCAAGGGTTTGCAGATGGCAACATAGCGGTCATAGGACATAGAAGCCAGAAGGAAAAACTCTGTAACCCCCAAAAAGATATAAAAAAACATCTGAGATACACAACCATTGTAGGAAATGGTCTTTTCTCTGGTTACAATGGTGATTAGAAATCTGGGGATGCAAGTAGTTGTGAATGAGATTTCCAGGAAAGAGAAATTATGAAGGAAGAAATACACTGGGGTCTTGAGATGGGAATCCAGCAGAGTGAGGGCAATGACGGTTAAGTTCCCTATCATGCTCAATATGTAATTGAGAAGCAGAAATAAGAAAATGACTATCTGTAACTGAAAATTATCCGTTAGTCCCAGTAGAATAAACTCTATCTTCTTTGTATGATTCTTCATTTCTCTTTTCTGAGTTCAATCAAATTCTAGAAAAAAATCAGAAATTATATGAGCAGTTTTATCTCCAGAAAAACATATATAAAAGAGCCACATTCATAAACATGACCATTTATGATGAAATACTCCATAGAATTTGAAGATATGGTCCAAAGCAGAACAACAGCAACTGTTAACTAAGAGTTTAAATGCACTATAGAATTTAAAAGGCAAAGATATCACTTTGAGGACTAAGGTGGGCCTGACCCAAGCCATGATATTTTCAGTTGCCACATATGCATACAAAAGCTGGACAATGAATGAGATAAACTGAAAAGAAAACGATGCCCTTGAATTATGGTGTTGGAGAAGAATTTTGAATATACCATGGACCTCCAGAAGAACGAACAAATTTGTTTTGCAAGAAGTACAGCCAGATTGCTCCTTAGAAGCGAGGATGCCAAGACCTCGTCTCACATACATTGAACGTGTTATGAAAAGGGACCAGCCCCTAAAGAAGGACGTCATGGTTGGTAAAGTAGAAGGTCAGTGAAAAAGAGGAAGACCCTTGTCTTAGTCATCTAGTGCTGCTCCAACAGAAATACCACAAGCGGATGGCTTTACAAAGAGACATTTATTCTCTCACAGTCCAGTAGGCTACAAGTCCAAATTCAGGGCATCAGCTCCAGGGGAACGCTTTCTCCATCGGCTCTGGAGGAAAATCCATGTCATCAGTCTTTCTTTGGTCTGGGAGCTTCTCTGTGCAGGAACCTCAGATCCAAAGGACGTGCTCTGCTCCCAGCACTGCTTTCTTGGTGATGTGAGGTTCCCATGTATCTCTGCTTGCTTCTGTCTTTTATATCTCAAAAGAGATTGCATTAAGACACTAATCTTGTCAACCTCATCAGTATAAACTCATAACAGTGATAGAATTTACAACACATGAGGAGATCACATATAATCTCATCATAGTGGTAGAGTTTACAACACATAAGGAAATCACATCAGATAACACAATCATACTATACTGGGAATCATGACCTAGCCAAGTTGCTACACACATTTTTTGGGGGACATAATTCAATCCATGACAACCCCCAACGAGATAGATTGACACAGTGGTTGCAACAATGAGCTCAAACAGCAACAATTGTGAGGACGGCGCAGGACCAGGCAGTGTTTCTTTCTGTTGTACACAGGGTCTCTATGAGTCAGAACCAACTCAATGGCACCTAATTACAACACAGAAGTCAGCTCAGTTTTGGAAATTGACCTACAAAATCTGTGATAGTTGATGTTTTTTCTAACAAACTGCTAGTCAAATGTATCTAATTCAAAATTTGGTCAGATGGCAAATAAATGAAATTAAAAAGCTGGGTTCCGGATTCAAAGATAATTTATTCATTTTTTTAGCTGTTGATTTTACCAAAATAAAACATTGCCAGTTTGATACATTAAGACCTACAATTAAACTCTGTAACTGAGATTTGTAGCCTCTTCTGCTTATGTCTTATGAAGACAGAAATGGCAAAACCGGAGTGTAATACCACAAGAAAATAAGTACTAGTTGAATTTGGATAAAAAAAAAAAGTAAAGTGATTATTACGAAGATATAGCCACATTTACAAAAAAAAAAAAATCTATTCATGACTTAGATGTTCTACCACATGTAACCAAGACCACAAGAGTAAAAGGGAGAATATAGAAAATGCATTGCATCTCTTCACAATGTGTGCCCAGTTATAGATAGCTAGAGTGTGTACCTAGTCTCCAGATGCAACTCTGTAAGGGTGAAAAGTCACAGTTTTCTTATCACATTTCCTATATTCTCATGTCCCCAACAATTACTCATATACTTAATCAGTGACGCTTAATCCAAGGAAGTATTGGTGTAGGAAGTGCTGATAATTTAAATGGAACAAATGTATTCTGATCATATTTTATGCTTGCAGTTGTAGGTTTTCATGTACTACAGTCTAAGATTCCCAGTAATAAAAACAGAGTGAATAAAAGAAAATATTGTCTCAGTAGAGAAGTATAGCCCAAGTGGGAAACTGTTAGCAATTAGAAACTGGACTTAAAGCTGCTAACCCACTAAAATCTAGCTATGGATCTTAGAAGAAAGAACATATGAATGCATACTGAGATAAAGGGCAATGCACTCTTCAGGTCAAAGATTGGATGGGAATTTAATTGTCAATAATTAATATTCTTAAACTATCACAAAAAATATAACAGAGCATTAGAAAGAGAGAAAATGGTTAAGAAGCTAGAAGTTTAGAATCTCAAGGCAGAGACCTCTTTGGAATTTTTACTGCATCACTTATGAATAGTTATATGGTCTTGGAAAAATTATTTAACTTCCTTATGTTTTAGTTTTCCATCTATAAAAAAGAAGTAAATTGTTTTGACCCAGTTATAGGGATTAAATGAGATGTGTACAGCATTTATCACTGTCTTCATAATTACTACTTAGTAACTGTTAAAGGAATAGTACATATAAAAGCTATAATAATGTAGTCAGAGGTTCTGTTGTTTTATCAAGTTTCAAACAGGCATGGCAAACCAGGTGCCTCAGAGTGAATTACAACTCATAGTGACCCCGCGTGTGTCAGAATAGACTTGTGTTGCTTAGGGTTTTCAATGGTTCATTATTTGGAAGTAGGTCACCAGGACTTTTGTCCAAGGCATCTATGGGTGGACTCGAACCTCCAACCTTTCAGTTAGCAGCCGAAAGCTGTCCACACCACCCATGGACTCCATGGGCACAGTAAGGGCTCCCTAATCACTGAACTCTGCTCAGACCAGTAGAGACCTTGGGATTGTGTGAAAGATACCCCCTTTTTAATGAGGAAATAAAATATATGACTTATAAAAGAACACATTTTTGAAGTTAAATGTAGCTTTCTATGTCCAAATTGCAGTATCCAATGGGTATAGAGTTTGACCCACTTTCTAAGATTTGAAAATGCAAATGTCTGAACAAAGTTCCTTCAATTTGGCTTTTAAGATGCAGTGAAGAAAAATAGTAACAGGGGAAAATTGTAGGACAAATTTTTAGTTTCTTTGTTTCAATAATATTTTTAATAAATTGAAATTATTAAACCATATTCTAAATTTTATTTTCCAATAGTGTAATAACTCTACTACAACTTTTCAAATTTACTTGAAGTATAGAGTGCTTTACACTGAATTTGTGCTCATCTAATTGATTTCATCATCCAGATGCAGATATAATGTTCAAAATTTAATATTATTTACAAAATCTATGCAAGCCTGTTTCAAATTTCTATGAAAGTCACAGTAATTCACTAGGGTGCAAACATGATTGACTCAGCTGATTTAGAACTGTTGCTAATATATGCTTCAGTAATGTACTAACAATAACTTTTTATGTAGTAAGAACAAAATTTCTAGTATTTTTAAAAGTATTTATTATTTGAAAAAAAGATTAATAAAAGAGATAAACCGCCATTAATCCTAAAAAAGAAAGAAGTATTTTGGGAAAAAAGAAATGAGAAAAACTATAAAGTCACCATTTTGAAATAAAATTACAAGGGCATACTCTAATAACCTTTATGGTAATGAATTTAGAAAACGAGAATTAAAGTAAAAATTTTCTTAGTAAATAACCAACTATAAATTAGCAATTATAAAATATAAACAAAAAATAACTACAGAGAAAATTAAAAGTACTGTCAAACAATTATGTTCCTTCAATAAATTCAAAACCATCTAAATGACTTCTAAGCAGGTTACATAATATAGTCTAAGAAATAAGAATTTTAATTTTGTTTTAATACTTCAATTACGTAGAAAAAGTTTAAAATGTACTAAAAAAACCCAAACCCGTTGCCTTCCAGTCGATTTTGACTCATAGCAATCCTAAAGGAAAAGTAGAACTGCCCCATAGAGTTTCCAAGGTTCTGATCTTTATGGAAGCAGACTGCCACATCTTTCTCACAAGGAGCAGCTGGTGGATTTGGAACATTGACATTTTGGTTAGCACACAAGTCCTTAACCACTGCACCACCAGGGCTCCTTAGAAGGTACTACAGAAAAAAACCTGCTGCCCTGGAGTGGATTCCAACTCATAAGTGACACTATAGCTATGCCCAAATAACTAAGCCTTAGAAAGCGAGCACAAATAACATGAAAGAGAGCTGTCGTTTTAATATAGATGCAAATTTACTAGGTAAAATATTAAAATAAAGAATGAGTAAATAAAGTGTGGTATATTCAGTTGCAATGTAATATTTTACAGTAAATAAAATGTTACAACTATAGCCACAAATGCAGTATTAATTAATCTTAGCTATATAATACCAGTACCATACCAGTTGTTTTCAGTCGATTCCAACTCTTGGCAATCGTATGCGTGTCAGAATAGAACTGTCCTTCCAAGATTTTTCCTTGGCTGATGTTTCAGAAGTACGTCACCAAGCGTCTCTTCCAAGGCATCTCTGGGTAGATGCCTCCAATCTCCAATCTTTAAATTAAGCCGCTGAGCACATTACATTTGTACCACACAGGGACTCCGGTTGTTGTTGTTAGGTGCCATCTTCCTTATTCATTGTCCAGCTTTCACATGCATATGAGGAGACTGAAAACACAGTGGCTTGGATCAGGCACACCTTAGTCCTTAAAATGACATCTTTGCTTTTAAACACTTTAAAAAGATACTTTGCAGCAGATTTGCCCAATACAACGCGTCCTTTGATTTCCTGACTGCTGCTTCCATGGGTATTGATTGTGGATCCAAGTAAAATGAAATCCTTGACAGCTTTAAACTTTTCTCCTTTAATCATTATGTTGCTTATTGGTCCAATTGTGTGGATTTATGTTTTCTTTATGTTAAGGTGTAATCCATACTAAAAGCTGTGGTCTTTGATCTTCATCGGTAAGTGCTTTAAGTTCTCTTCAATTTCTGCAAGCAAGGTTGTATCATCTGCATATTACAGGTTGTTAATGAGCCTTCCTCCAATCTTGATGCCATGTTCTTCTTCATATAGTCCAGTTTCCCAGATTACAGCATATAGATTGAACAAATATGGTGAAAGGATACAGTCCTGACACACACCTTTCCTGACCAACAGGTATACATAAGTTATTGTGTATTTGGTTGGGAAGTGTATTCTTAAATGTTCTTTGCTCCATTATAATAAATTTTTTGCAGAAAAAA